CCCAAATTCATGCATCAGTTGATGAATAAATAAACTATAGTATACCCATACAAGGAAATATTATTTTGTCAATAAAAAGGAATAACTCACTGCTTACAACATATATAAACCTTGAATATGCTTGCTGGGTGCAGTGGTACCCAGTGGGTCAGGAGGCTGAAGCAGGAGGGTCACAAGTCAAAGCCAGCTTCAGCAACTTAGTGAGACCCTATCTCAAAATAAAAAGAACTGGGTATGTTGCTCGGTGATAGAGTGTCCCTGGGTTCAATCCCCAGTACTAATGAATGGGTGAATGAGTGAATGAAAGAAAGAAAAATGAAACCAATTTGATAAATATTTATTGAGCATCTCTCTTTTTTGGGGGGGGTCAAACAAACAGTCTGGACATTGCAGTGTTAGGACAGCCTTGGTCCTTGTTCTGGGAGACTTGTCTGGTCAGAGAAACAAACCGTGAATAATATTTTAATGCTAAAGAGACAAAATCAGGCTTTTTCTGTAGAGCTGAGTAAATACAGACCACAGGATTTTTAGTGGCAAAGAGTATTGAACTTTAAATTGTGCCTGCTTTATGATACCTAAAATACCTTTCACATGGGAACTTTGGTTTTTTTGTTTTGTTGTTTTCTTTAAATTTAGATGGTAGAAGCTGGGTGCAGCAGTAAGCACTTGTAATCCCAGGTACTTAGAAGGCTGAAATACGAGAGTTACAAGTTTGAAAACAACTTCAGCAATTTAGCAAGACCCTTTCTCAAAATAAAAATTAAAAAGGGCTGGGGCTGTATCTCAGTGATAGGGTGCCATGGGGTTCAATCCCCAGTACTGCAGATAATTAATTTTTTTTTAAGAGAGAGAGAGAGAGGGAGAGAGAATTTTAACATTTTATTTTTTAGTTATGGGTGGACACATCTTTGTTTGTATGTGGTGCTGAGGATCGAACCCAGGCCGCACGCATGCCAGGCGAGCACGCTATTGCTTGAGCCACATCCCCAACCCCTGCCCCAGATAATTAATTATTTAACTTAGTAGATTTTAAATATTTGAGAATAATAATTGAACTTATTCCTAGTTAAGTATATTCAATCAAATATAAACATCAAATTTAGTTTTGATAGAAGAAAGCACCAGAAGATACAAAAAAAGATTAATAAAAGACTTTTATAAAAAGTCACTCTTTTGGACAGACTCTTACTATATTGTTAGGGAAATTATGTGCAGAAATATTTTTGTCTCATTTATTCCCAGTTCATACACAATTTAGAAGGAACAGTGCTGCTCCTTTCGATTGACAAAGTAATAACTGTCTTAAAAGTTCTAGAAACACAATAGTAAGAAGCCATATTTGGGGGAGCCTGAAGCAGGAGAACAAGTTTGATGCCAGCTTCAGCAACTTAGCAAGGCCCTAAGCAATTTATTGAGAACCTGTCTCAAAGAAGATAATACTGGGATATAGCTCAGTGGTAAAATGTCATATTTCTTAAGGGTTATTTTAAAGATGATCTTCTATGAAGCCCGATTACCATAGTTCCTCTGGTTTAATAGACGTTATGAGGCAGAGTGTTTCTGTTCATGAAATTTGCAATTAAAGAAAAGTACATGGCTACTGGGCTAGCCTTTTCCGTAAATTTGTTACCCACATTGACATTTACCAGATTCACATTTTCCTCATAAAATCTGTTCTGAGTTAGTAGAGCAGAAACTAGTGTCTTGAGACATTTTTCTGCCAGCTTAATGCTGTTTAAATTGTGTTCTAAGAACTAGAATATCATTTTCATTTGAAGATGTCTTTAACCCAAAGAGCCACAATTAATTTTTTGGTACTTAAAGTTCTGAATCCTGGATCATTTGTGAAGAATTTGTTAAGGGGGCTGGGGTTGTGGCTCAGTGGTAGAGCACTTGCCTAGCATGTGTGAGGCCCTAGGTTCGAGTCTCAGTACCGCATATAAATAAAATAAAGGTCCACTTACATCTAAAATATATATATAAAGAATTTGTTAAGGTCTTTTCTCTGCAGGTTTTTGTTTCTCTGAATAAGAAATTTAATTCTTATATGAGTGATACCTGGAAGAATATATTATATAATTTGATTATGTCACTACTAGAAATGTGAGAATATTTCATATCAACCTCTTCTATAAATAATAGAAATTTTATTTGGGGGGAAAAAATCACATTATCCACTAAACATTTGCCAGATCCCTTCTATAGATTTAATTCTGCTCTGTGCACTGCAGGGTTGATTATAAAGGTTATAATCCTATCCAACATAAAGGAAAAAGCAGTGTTGAACAGTTGTGACTTATTAAATGCTTTACATTTATTTTTACATTTAATCTGGTAAATCTATTGATGGATAGCCCTGTTTTTATAATAAGAGAATTGGAGCTACAAGGAGTGAAATTGCTTTATCAGTAATTAGTAATTGAACCAAGTCTTTCTAACTCTGAAGCTTTACACATACTGTCTTTCTGAAAGACAGGAATGAATAACTCTGACAGTTGCTAGATTAGAGTTATGACAAAGTGCTAACAGTTCAGTCTTCTTATGAGGGACTTCAGTAAGAAGGAGAGACTTGGAGTTAGGTAAAAGAAAATATGAGCGTTAATGCATGGCTTTCCATTATTATCATCAGAATGTTGTTTCCTGAGAAACCTCAAATGTACATATTGGGTTTGGGAGTGTTTGCTGAATTCCATCTTAAGATTGGGGTAAAATTTTGGGGTTCCCAGTTCTGCTTTTGAGAGTCCAGATTTGACTATAAAGTTTGTAAAGGTGACATGGGAGTGTTTGCTGTACCTTATAGAGTACCAAGATATATTTGCCTAGAGGGAGCCTAGGCAATTTAGATTTTATTTTATTGGCATCATCCCATTTTTTTTCCATCCATGCCTTCATCTGTATGCTTGCACCAGGGATTTGAGGTAGGATGTCTTCAGGATGATGTGGACCTGCTCCTGTCCTTTTAACTTTTAGATGCAGGAAGCGGTTGCTAAATGATTGAAAAGCCTGATTTCTGACTCAACCTGGAGGCTTCAGACTTTTTATAAAAAATCGCCCTTTTGGACAGTGCCCTACTGTAGGTTAATAAGTGCCTCCTAAGAGTGATGAAATATTTTTAAGAAAGAAGGGAATGACTGGGCATGAAGAGACTGTTCAGGTTTATGAAGAAGCTTAGGGAAAGACAGCAGATAAGAGAAAAATACACATTCTATTTAAATTTGAGCTGGAAAACCTATTTGGAGAATTAAAAAACTAGGTTTGTAGCCTAAAATAAAGATATAATAGGCTGATGGATCCTTTCTGTCTGCCCCATCTCCATCATAAGGAGGAAACTAGAATTCTAAACATGAATCTCTCAGTATTTTACTATTTTAAGAAAACATCTTAAAATAGTTGATCCTCCATATTATAGTGGGCAGCACAACTCAGTAACAGTTTTGCCAGTTGTAGGTTATTTGAATTTCCCCAAAATAAAGATAAATGAAAACAAGACCAATGGCTTTTAGACAGCATTGGTCTTTTTCAAAGTTTGTAAGCATTTTTCTTGAAAAAAATAGATAATTTCATTTATCTAAGTGGGTTTGCTGTGTCAGTCTGTGTGTATGTACACCTATATATGTTGTGTAGGTGCTTCCCCTTTCCCCAGCCCTTTTAGAGTTGATGGCTTTGTCCTTGATTGTTCAGTATAAGTTTGTAGACTTGACTAAGAGAGCTTGTGTAGTAATGCTTGCTTTATTTTTTTTTTCTCTTCTACTCTTGTTTTATTTTTTACTTTTTTTTCTTTGTGATGTGACATTTTCAGCTGATGTATTGAAAGCAAATCCTTCTAATTTGGGAGCCCAGATCACAAGAGTGAGTTTTTCTACTAGTGTCTTTAGCTGTATATCTTTTTTTGTGTGTGTCTTTCTACCCTTCCTCCTCCCAATTAAAAAAGATTCAAAATACATTTCATAAATATTAGGTAAGAAAACTCCTTTGTCTGTTGAACATCATGCCTTTCCACAAAGCAATGTCCACTTTATATTGGGTCAAATTCCTTTTCTCAATGCTATTGTAAAAGCATAAGCTAATGAGTATGTTTTATCTTGTTTGTTTTTTAATATTGTCTAAGGTGTTGAAAATAATTTTAGTTCTGTCTTCATTACAGATAGATATGTCTGGACTCTGTCACCAGTGTGTCATGGCACTGTTCTTTTTTGGTTGTTGCTGTTTCTTTTGTTTTAAGGAAAATTGTATAGTAGCTTCTGAAAATAAAAGACCATCCTGTTATCTGGATTTTAAGTAATAAAATTTTTGACTTATCTCTATTTTCCCTCCCCACCCCCTGGATATTCCTCTCAGGGTCATGAAGGAATGAAAAGCTATACATATTACTCTCTAATTTCAACAGACTGACCAGATGAAATTGGTCAGACTGGTGAGCTCTGAACATGCTAGCATTAGAAGACCTCTCTTGGGTTTGTTTAATAGTTATCAAGAAATCTCCAATTGTGCTGAAAAGAGATAACACCTTTTATGGTGAAATAAAAGTATGTTTTCTATTTGTTCTGATTCAAATAACCTCCCTATGTAAGCTGTACATTGCTTTTTAAGATCTTGCACCTTGAGCGATTTTCTGTAATAGCCTAAACCCTTTCTGTTCTCTTTGACCTGTGTTACTGCAATTTATCTCATGTTCTGTTTGTCTAGTTTTGCATCCTGGAAGAGCAGGTGATTAAATAGTCCCTTTTCTTTCTTCCCAATGTTATAAATATCCTCATTGCTACTGAAATAATTTTATATTGCCCAATAAAGCAAATAATATGCTGTACTAATTAGAAATGCAGATAGTCCAAGTGTCATACACAAAGTAATCTGCTATTATGTTTTCAGTATGATAAGAGAGTCTAATGACATATTCTACACTAGTACTATAAGCATTGATTTACGGTAAATTTCTAAAGGCTTTGCTTTCAGTTACTCTTAAATCACCACCTTCTGTTTCTTTCTTTCCATTAACCCAGAGATTAAAAGATCTCAAACAGAGAGAGTTTGCCCGAAATGTCTCTTCAAGATCTCGCAAGGATGAGAAGAAACAAGAAAAAGCCCTTCGGCGGCTCCATGAGTTGGCAGAGCAAAGAAAACAAGCTGAATGGTAAGGAAATTTTCTCTCAGAGTGCTCTACAGATAATTACAGTCCTTAAGATTTTAAGTTACTAGATTTTAAGATTATACTTTAAAATATTAGCCTTAAGATTTTCAGTAGAACCTTATTGATTATATGTTCTTTTCAGGCCATATTCTATTTACTATCTGTGTGACTTATTCAACTTGTATCTAAACTCTCTGTGCTTTAATTTTTCTATTTGTAGAATGAAGATAGTAACAATTTACTTCTCACAGTTGTAAGCACTTAAAAAGAGTGCCTGGCATGCTGGTGGGTGGTGTATGCCTGTAATCCTGGAGGCTTAGGCAGGAGGATGGCGAGTTCAAAGCCAGCCTCAGCAACTTAGTGAAGCCCTAAGTAACCCAGTGAGACCCTGTCTCAAAATAAAATATAAAAATGGTTTGGGGATGTGGCTCAGTGGTTAAGCACCTCTGGGCTCAATCCCCCCCCCCCAAAAAAAAAAAATGAGTGCCTGGCACATCTAAGAGGCACAGTAAATCAGTAAATGATGCCACTACTACTACTATTCACATTTTCCAATATTTCTCTTTTTATAGGAAAAAATGTTAGGGCACACATTTAAGGGTTGTCATTACCTTTTAAGTACTATATAGTTAGTACTCTGAAACCTACAGAATTCCATCAGTTTATTTCTCTATAAGGTCCTGCCCCTTTGAGTGTTGTTTTTAATGTTCTTTTATGGTTCTTATTCATTATTGAATTTTTGTCTGGAATTTAGCCTTAAGAAGACTACCTTACCTAGGACAGAACTTCCAAACAATTAGATTCTGGAGACCCAGTCTTCGAGTTGTTTTTTCTTTGTTTGTTTGCTAGAGATCAAACCCAGGGCCTTGCACCTGCTAGGCAAATGCTCTACCACTGAACTTCATCCCCACTGGATTTACTAGTTTTATATTGTACCCCACCCCCACCCCCACACAAACACACACACTTCCTTCTTATTGACTTGCATTCTGGAGGAAGAAGGAAGGGAGAGAATATATATAGTATAAGTTTTTAACAGAATTAGCCTGCAATCTCTAATATTGAGTTAAACTGCCTATAAAATGATTCTGTACCTCCTTTTACTTTTTTTTTTTTTTTTACTTTTTTTTTTTTTTTTTGATACTGGGGATTGAACCCAGGGGCACTGAGCTATATCCCCAGCCCTTTTTATTATTTTACTATGAGAGACAAGGTCTCTAAGTTGCAGAGGCTGGCATCAAATTTACAATCTTCCCAAGTCACTGGGATTACAGACAAGTGCCACCATGCCTATTGGCAACTCTTTTTTAAAAAATATATATATTTTTTTAATTGTCAATGGACCTTCACTTTATTTATTTATATGAGAATAAATTAAAGGTGCTGAGAATCAAACCCAGTGCCTCACACACACTAGGCAAGTGCTCTACCACCAACCCACGACTGGCAACTCTTTATGTAAACACAAAAGAAAGCAATGGTGCCTCCTTAAAATAGATACGCTATGCCAGGTGTAATGATGGCATGTATCTGTGATCCCAGTTACGTGGGAGGCTGAGGCAGGAGAATTACAAGTTCAAGGCCAACCTGGGCAATTTAGCAAGACCCTGTCTCAAAATAAAAAATAAAAAGGACTAGGGCTAGAGCTCAGTGTAGAGCACCCCTCAGATCAAGCCCCATTACCACAAAAAAAAAAAAAAATTGTACACCAAAGTTCAGGGCATCTTTTTCTTTAAAGGTAACTTTTAGTTTCCAGTTTTTGAAATGAATACTTAATAGATGACTAAGTAGGGCTAGAGGTGCAGTGGCAGAGTACTTGCTCAGCATGTGTAATGCCCTGGGTTTGATCCACAGCACCATGAAAAGAAAAAAAAGACCAAGTAGTTTCAAGAGAATTAAAAATATATATATTTGATCTATCATCAGATATTTCTTCATACTAATAATGCATGACCCCATAGTAGTTATTGAAATAATGGCAAAGACTAGAGTCTAGGGTTATAGCTCAGTGGTATACAGCTAAAGACACATGCCTAGCATGTGTCTTTAGCTGTATAAATAATATACATATAAATATAAATAAATGAATAAAATAAAGGTCCGTCAGCATCCAAAAAAATTTTTTTAAACATGGCAAAGACAAAAAAAATCAAAACAAATATTTTTATTCAATTTGAGAGTTTTGTGCTTTATAGTATAGGTAGTTTGTTTCTGTGGGGTAGGCTTTATAACATAGCATATCTCTTACTATCCAAATCTGTTGGGTTCCCATTTTCCAATAGCAACAGTTCATGTAGCAAGAGATACCACCACATCATCTGAATGTTTTTTGGTAACTGAGTTGAGGACACTTAGTAACTGCTGGTCATATAACAAGGGTTTTTATCTAAATGGATATATAATTCTTATTTAGTTCTTGAGTTTGGAATTCAAAGAATACTGGAGAGTCCATACATGGTGAAATTTAGGCAATATAGGCAGTTTAGAATGCTACTCTTTTTTTAATATTTATTTTTTAGTCGTAGTTGGACACAATATCTTTAATTAACTTATTTATTTTTATGTGGTGCTGAGGATCAAACCCAGGGCCTCACCCATGCTAGGCAAGCACTCTACTGCTAAGCCACAACCCCAGTCCCTAGAATACTACTCTTTTATACACACACACACACACACACACACACTTTATTTATTTATTTTTATGTGGTACTGAGAATCGAACCCAGGGCCTCACATGTGCTAGGCGAGAGCTCTACCACTGAGCCACAATCTAGCCCTAGAATCCTACTCTTAAGACTTCTCACTGTACCTGTTGTCAAAGCTGAAGAGTGCTTGATAGCAATGTGACCATTGTTCTGAGTACCCAGAAAATACAGTAGCCCCTGTGTTATTACTTTCTATAGTTTCAGTTATCTATACTCAGCTGTGGTCTGAAGGTATTAATTTGAAATTCCAGAAATAAAGAATTTGTAAGTTTTTTTTAAATTGTGTGCTATTCTGAGTAGTGTGATGAAATCTCAAGCTGTCCCAGTCTGTCCTGCTTGGGACATGAAACATCCCTTTGTTCAACCTATTCATGCTTCAGATGCTGTATGCCCACTASACAGAGACCAAATACATATAACTTTTATTATTATCTTATTATAACTCTTCTATTTTATTGTTGTTGTTGATCTCCTACTGTGCCTAATTTATAAACTAAACTTCATTATAGATGAGAGTGTATGTATGTGTGTGTGTGTGTGTGTGTTGGGGCTGGGGTTGTGGCTCAACAGTAGAGCTTTTGCCTAGAATGTGTGAGGCACTGGGTTTGATCCTCAGCACCACATAAAATAAATAAGATAAAGGTATTGTGTCCATCTACAACTAAAAATATTTTTTTAAAAAAGTGTATGTGCATACATGCACATGTGTGTATGGTTAAGTACTACCTACAATTTCAGGCATCCACTGTGGGTTTTGAAACTTCCCCCATGGATGAGGAGGTACTATTATTATATATAAAACCAAAGCAAATGTTTGGATGTAGTGCCCAGGATATATACACAGGCTATTTGCTTCAAAAACAAACATAACAACCCATGGTAGAAGTATCATGGTAGAAGTTTCTATGTTTAATACAGAATATGCCCATTTTTTGAAAAATGAAATCTGAGAAATTTGTTTTTGTTTTTGCTTTTGTTTTTTGGTACTGATGATTCAATTAACTTACCACTGAGCTTTTTAATTTTTATTTTTTGAGATAGGGTGTTTGTACAATACTTAGGGCTTCACTAAGTTGCTGAGATTGGCCTTGAACTTATAGTTCTTTTGCATTAGCCTCCTGAGTCTCTGGGATTACAGGTATTTGGCACCATGCCTAGCTTTTTTTTTTTTTTTTCTTTAGCTGAATGAAATATAACCTTGTGGATAGAGTTATATATAGCCGTACATTTCCTAGCATACCAATGGGTAGAATAATAATAGTAATAAATATGATCAGAAGCAGGTTGYGACAGACTATACAAGATGGTAGTGATGGGGTATTTGAGATAAGCCTTATTTTTTTTGTAATATAGACAGCTTAAGAAAAAACAGCAGTAACTGGCTGGCCCTGGGAATTTAGGTTGGTTGGTTAATAGAGTGAGATGTTGCTTAACTTCCACTGAGCAGCTTCCTTCATTAGCACAGCAATACAGAATGGCCACCTCTTAGTGTCTTTGAGACCTACGTAAGATGAATGGTAGAACATAAAGGATGAGTACGTTATAAGATATATAAAATGCCTTAAACCTGTTTTTGGTTTTTTTCTCACTTTTTTAAACCATTGTGCAGTGCACCTGGAAGTGGTCCTATGTTTAGACCAACCACGGTGGCTGTAGATGAAGAAGGTGGAGATGAAGACAAGGATGAATCAACTACAAATAGTGGCACAGGTACCACTGCTACTTGTAGCTTGGGATCTGAATTCTCCACAGATAAAGGAGGCCCCTTCACTGCAGTACAGATCACTAATCCCACTGGACTGGCACAAGCTTCTGGGTCATCCTCTCAAGGCATCAGCTTTGGCCTTAAGAATAATTTGGGGACCCCATTGCAAAAATTGGGAGTATCATTTTCCTTTGCCAAGAAGGCTCCTGTTAAACTTGAATCAATAGCATCTGTTTTCAAGGATCATGCAGAGGAAGGGCCCTCTGAAGATGGAACAAAATCTGATGAGAAGGGTTCTGATCAAGGACTGCAAAAGGTGGGAGATGCTGATGGTAGCGGTAATCTTGATGGTAAAAAAGAAGATGAAGACCCTCAAGATGGAGGGTCTCTTGCCTCAACATTATCCAAGTTAAAAAGGATGAAGCGAGAGGAAGGAACTGGAGGTACAGAGCCAGAGTATTACCACTATATTCCCCCAGCGCACTGCAAAGTAAAACCTAATTTTCCCTTCTTACTCTTTATGAGAGCCAGTGAACAAATGGAAGGTGATAATACTACACACTCAAAGAATGTCCCAGAAAGCAAAAAAAGTAATTCTCCCAAGCCTAAAGGCTGTGTTAAGGTGACAGCAAGCCAAGGAGCAGAAAAGGCAGTTAGTGAAGTCTTTGAGCAGCAGAAGGAAGCCACTGTGACTGAGCCCTCAGAGCCTGGAAGCAAACCTGACACAAAAAAGACCACAGGAGGGGATATAACTGAGCAGAGTTTAGAAAGTCAAAGTCAAAAGTCTTCAGAGATCCAAATGTGTGAGTCTAATCCTTCTAAAGAAACCTGTCAGGCCACCCCAGCTGGGAAAGAAAGCCAGGAAGGACCCAAACATCCTACTGGCCCCTTTTTCCCAGTTTTGAGCAAAGATGAAAGCACTGCCCTCCAGTGGCCATCAGAACTATTAATTTTCACCAAGGCAGAACCATCCATTTCCTACAGTTGTAACCCTTTATACTTTGACTTTAAACTTTCAAGGAACAAAGATGCCAGGGGTAAAGGGACAGAAAAACCAAAGGATATGGGAGGATCCTCAAAGGACCAGCTCCAAGGCCTTGATCCTGGTGAGCCAAATAAAAGCAAGGAAGTAGGAGAGAATGTAGTACATTCATCAGGAGGCAGAATGGAAGTACCTGCTTCAGGGCCTGCCTGTAGCAGCCTGAACAAACAGGAGCCTGGGGGCAGCCATGGGTCAGAGACTGAAGATATAGGGAAAAGCCTTCCTAGCAAGAAAGAACGATCTGGGAAGTCCCACCGACACAAAAAGAAAAAGAAACACAAAAAGTCCAGCAAACACAAACGGAAACACAAGGCTGACACAGAAGAGAAAAGCTCTAAGGCAGAGTCTGGGGAGAAGTCTAAGAAGCGTAAGAAACGAAAACGAAAGAAGAATAAGTCATCAGCCCCAGCAGATTCTGAACGAGGACCCAAACCAGAACCTCCTGGAAGTGGTAGCCCTGCACCACCAAGAAGACGGCGACGCGCCCAAGATGACTCCCAGAGGAGATCCCTCCCTGCTGAAGAAGGGAGCAGTAGCAAAAAAGATGAAGGTGGGGGTGGTAGCAGTTCCCAGGATCATGGTGGGAGGAAACACAAAGGTGAACCACCAGCTTCATCCTGCCAGCGGAGAGCTGGCACCAAACGGAGCAGCCGATCTAGCCATCGGAGCCGACCCAGTAGTGGAGATGAGGATAGTGATGATGCTTCATCACGAAGGCAGCACCCAAAGTCTCCATCCCAGTATAGTGAGGAGGAGGAGGAGGAAGAGGAGGAGGAAGACTCAGGCAGTGAGCATTCCCGAAGCCGCTCACGGTCTGGCCGGCACCATTCCTCACACCGTTCTTCCAGACGCTCTTACACAAGTAGTTCAGATGCTTCTTCAGACCAGAGCTGCTATAGTAGACAGCACAGTTACTCTGATGACAGTTATAGTGACTATAGTGACCGATCACGAAGACACTCTAAGCGCTCTCATGACTCAGATGACTCAGATTATGCCAGCTCCAAGCACCGATCCAAACGACACAAATATTCATCTTCTGATGATGACTATAGCCTCAGTTGCAGCCAATCTCGAAGTCGTTCTCGGAGTCATACCAGAGAGCGCTCAAGATCCCGGGACCGCAGCCGTAGCAGCAGTTGTAGTCGCAGTCGGAGCAAGAGGAGAAGTCGCAGCACCACAGCCCATAGCTGGCAGCGGAGCCGGAGCTATAGCCGGGATCGCAGCCGTAGTACCAGGAGCCCTTCCCAGAGATCAGGCTCCAGAAAGGGATCATGGGGTCATGAGAGTCCTGAGGAAAGGCGTTCTGGTCGTCGGGACTTCATTCGCTCAAAGATCTATCGCTCTCAGTCCCCCCACTATTTTCGATCAGGGCGGAGTGAAGGTCCTGGGAAAAAAGATGATGGCAGGGGAGATGACAATAAAGGGACAGGCCCACCCTCCCAGAACAGCAATACTGGCACAGGAAGGGGGTCAGAAAGTGACTGCAGCCCTGAAGACAAGAACTCTGTCACTGCCAAACTGCTGTTGGAGAAGATCCAGTCTAGGAAAGTGGAGAGGAAACCCAGTATGAGTGAGGAGGTGCAGGCCACCCCGAGTAAAGCTGGGCTCAAGCTCAAGGACCCACCACAAGGTTACTTCGGGCCCAAGCTTCCCCCTTCTCTTGGCAATAAGCCTGTTCTTCCACTGATAGGGAAGCTCCCAGCTACCCGAAAGCCTAACAACAAGAAATGTGAAGAGTCTGGCTTGGAAAGGGGGGAAGAACAAGAACAATCGGAGACGGAAGAAGGGCCCTCAGGGAGTAATGATGCACCCTTTGGGCATCAGTTCCCCTCAGAGGAAACAGCTGGCCCTTTATCAGACCCACCCCCAGAAGAGCCAAAGTCTGAAGAAGCTACTGCTGATCAAGCTGTGGCTCCACTAGGTACCCCAGCACACTCTGACTGCTACTCTGGGGACCCAACCATCTCCCATAACTACCTCCCTGACCCCAGTGATGGGGACACCTTAGAGTCCCTGGATAGTGGCAGTCAGCCAGGTCCTGTGGAATCCAGCTTGCTGCCTATAGCACCAGACCTTGAGCACTTTCCCAGTTATGCACCTCCCAGTGGGGAACCTAGTATTGAGTCAACAGATGGGGCTGAGGATGCTTCCCTGGCCCCCCTGGAGAGCCAGCCCATCACCTTCACACCTGAGGAGATGGAGAAGTACAGCAAGCTCCAGCAGGCTGCACAGCAACACATCCAGCAGCAGCTTCTGGCCAAACAAGTAAAGGCCTTTCCAGCCTCCGCAGCCCTGGCTCCAGCAACTCCAGCACTGCAGCCCATCCACATTCAGCAGCCAGCCACAGCCTCTGCCACCTCCATCACAACTGTTCAGCATGCCATCCTACAGCATCATGCTGCTGCTGCTGCCGCTGCCATTGGCATTCACCCCCACCCTCATCCCCAGCCACTTGCCCAAGTGCATCATATTCCTCAGCCCCATCTGACCCCAATTTCTTTGTCCCACCTCACTCACTCAATCATCCCTGGCCACCCTGCCACCTTTCTTGCTAGCCATCCCATCCACATCATTCCTGCCTCAGCCATTCATCCTGGACCCTTCACCTTCCACCCTGTCCCACATGCTGCCCTCTACCCTACCCTTCTTGCCCCACGGCCTGCTGCAGCAGCTGCTACTGCCCTCCACCTTCACCCACTACTTCACCCCATCTTCTCAGGTCAGGACCTGCAGCACCCGCCCAGCCATGGCACATGAATTGGGGGATGGGAGTATATGTAGGGCCAGGGAAGGTGACCCAAGATTCTTCCCTTGGGGGTGTTGAGCCATTAATACCAGCAAGCAAAAGCTGGGATGGGCAGTGTCTGACAGCCAAAGAATAATTTTGGCTTGCAGGGAAGGGTTTAGATTTGAGGTTTGCTTTGGGTTATTATCAGGGATTTACCCGCCCCCTTTCCTCCTTTCTATTTGTCCCTCCCTCTCCTGTGTTTCTAAGCTAGGAAACACCAGTAAGTGCTACCCAACCCTTTGCAGCAATGTCTCCAAAATGTCAAATTTAAATAGTTCCCTACTCCTTCTACTTTTTATCCTGTGCTCTTCCCTTCTATAAATTTTAAAACATTTTCCTCCTCTCTGGTGGGTTGTCACCAAAGCACTTGCCATGGGCCCATCTGGTTCTGCCTTCTCAGTGCCACAAAGGAAGGCCAAGCGATCTCTCCAACAGTGAAAGATCTACCAGATCCTGTGGAATCCAGCTTGCTGCCTATAGCACCAGACCTTGGAGCACTTTCCCAGTTTCCCTGGGTACCTTTGGGCAGTGTCTTTGACTATCCCTAGTGACATGTTATCCCAGGTGAGATGGAAAGGGAGTCTGACCTGGAACCAGATGCAACTCAGGCTGCCATTTGATCCACTTTCCACCCAAACAGCCACACATTTGGCACTACTCAAATCCCTCATCCCAGAAAAGGCATCTGCATATCTCAGAAAAGAAGATCCTATCATGAATTGAAGCTATGCGGAACATAGTCTCCCGTGTGCTTCCCCAGAGAGGAGCTCATGTGTCTGAAGGGTATATTTTCTTCTGTTGTGTTGATGTTTCCTTCTTAATTTATAGGATTTTTTAATGTAAAAATTGCACTGAACTCTATAAACGTAAAATGCTGCTTTTTGTAGCTCATATAAAAAGGTTCCATATTTGTAGTATACTGCAATAATATTTTTTACATCCAGCTCTTTAAGTGATCCTTGTTCTGGTGGCTTTGTGTAAATATGTTTGCCCTAGTTGAATTAAGAAACTTTAAAGGTTATAAAATGAAAACAAAAAAAAATAAAGTATTTGTTTTCTGCTAGATACAAAAATGACTAAGCATGTATATTTTATCAAGCTCATGTATTTTTTGAAGTTATGAACTATAAAAATGTCAAAACATTTTTTGCTGGGACAAAATGTTAGGTAATTTGCATTAAGTGGTGCCCCCAGCACTGGGATTTTTGAGTTAATGGGCAGCATTCAGCTGCGGGTGTCAGAGGGATGCTCAGTTGTGATGGTCTCCCTCGTGTTCTTTGTTGTTTTACACAGAGAAACAGGTGGACCCTGCAGAGGAAGGGCGAGATGCAGCTTGATTCTCTGGAAGCAGTGAGATTCATTGATTATCTGGGGGGAATTCCTGGGTTTCCCTGGGTACCTTATTCCAAGCAGACCATTTGCCTTCCTAGAACTTAGCCCCTCTGACAATTTTTTTTTTTTTTAATGTGCCTTTTGGGTTGGCTAGAAAGTGAAGTAGAAGTAGACCAGAGGGTAATAGAGTTGGGACAGTTTTCTCCTTTTGTTGGGAGGTGAACACATTTATAGATACCTTTTGCTTCATAGTTCTAGGCCTTCTACCCAGCTCAGTTTCAGCAGTAGTGGTTCCTATTTCTGTCTCTCCCATGACACTGACCAGGGGAATTGCCGCCTCAGCCCCATTTCCCCCTCTTCTTGCCTCTTCACCCAGGCTCTCAGCTCTAATTAACACACGCAAAGGTGCTTGCTTGTATTGCAGGTCCCATGTCCTTTGGTGTAGTTAGTGGTTTCCTCTGGCATTTCCTTACCAATTCCTGTGGCTAGAATTTGTTGAGTGGCCACCTGACAGAAAAAAACAAACCATATTTACCTGGCCAAGACTCTGCTCCTGCCTTTCTTCTCAAATTCCCAAAAGAAAAAGGCTTTGAGCTAATGAGAAGCAAGTGCTAGACAAACAAAGACTCTTGGCTGAACACCGCTTCTTGCATCCTCAGTGCTCATCTGATTCAGAAGTATCACTTTTTGGATAGCTAGCACTGGAAAAATGAAATCATCTGTTTGAAGTGAAGGGATTCATTTTTCTTTGCTTTCAGCCCATGTAAATATTTAAATAATACAGTATTAACATTTTTTGTGCTGCTTCCCTTTAGCCTGTAGATTGAGCCATACTCTGGCCACCTCTCTGCCTTCCTGGGGGCAGTTTTCTTTAACTTCCAGAATAGTGATTTTAAAACCTAAAAAAAAGGAAAAACAAAATAACCTATCCTTACTTACAAGCATAACAGATTGTATTGAACTTTATCACATATGATAGAGCTATATATGCTGTAAAATGAGGGAAAGGAGCTTTCTAATAAACCAATGATTTGTGGAAACTAGCAGAGTCTGTCGTGATTGTTGCCCCATCTAATCAGGTTGGGAATGGTTGGAGTTTTGGTTTATAAATAACACCTTATTTGAAAATATTAAAGGATAGTTTCTTTTTTTCTTTTTTATTTTTATGTGGTGCTGAGGATCGAACCCAGGGCCTCGTACATGCTAGACGAGCGCTCTACTGCTGAGCCACAACTCCAGCCCCAAAGGATAGTTTCTTGTGAATCAATCTGAGGTATTTGGAATTGTGTTTCTGAAGTTCAGGTTTGTCCAAGGAGAGGGGAAAGATAGCCCTGGGAAGAAGACTAGTAGTGAGGTTTTTCTTAGTCTTAAGTAGATGATTTGGAATGTGTACCTTTCTGCTCCCTCTTTGCCACATGGCTTTTCTTCTATTTTTTTTTCCCCTCATTTTAGCTCTATAATCTTTGTATAGTAGAATACATAGAATGTGGAGATACTCACTAAATTGACATGGAACTTCCAACTTTTTAGAATTTGGGGTTCATTTAAGGGCAGTGGGATTACAATAGTCATCTGCTTGGCCTTCGGTCTCCTGTTGAAGTTCTGTATAACTGGGCTTGAATTACCATTTTCAACCTTTTTAATACCACTGCAATGTTTGAGCCCTTCCACTTGTTTAAGAAAACAAGCCCAAATTGTTACTGAGACAAAACCCTACTCATTCATGTCAAAAAATCACAAAGGGGCACATATGTGTAATCCYAGCTAATTGGGAAGGGTAAGGCAGGAGGATCACAAGTTCTAGGCCAGCCTCAGCAACTTACGAAGATCCTGGGATGTAGCTCAATGGTAGAGCACCCCTGGTTCAATCCCCAGTACTGTAAAAAAAAGAAAAAGAAAAAAAAGTGAATTTCTGAGAACAAAGAAGGTAACAAGCAAAAGAGGCAAACTGACCTGTATAAAGTGTGGTGTGTAAGTATGTGCAGCCGCCTTGCTCTGATAAGGCCTCAACCACTTCTCTTCTATACCCTTGAGGACTAAGTCAGGCCTTGTCAAACATTTCCATTTTTATTTGCCAGAAATATCTTCATGTCACCCTTATCAACCCAAATCTGAATTATTACAGCATTTTCCTGGCTGGCCTCCCTAAAACTAACTGGTGTTTCAGAATCCTTGTGGTTCTTTTATGAACATAAAATGATTTTATGTTCACTGCTTCCTAGTAAGATTGTGAACTCTGGGATGGCGGGCTGATTCTTATCTATCTATCTATCTATCTATCTATTTAGAGGCAGAGTCTCTTTAAGTTGCTTAGGTTGATCTCAAACTTAGGGTCTTCCTGCTTTCCAAAGAGCTAGGATTATAGGTGTGCATGGTGGGTAATAGTAAACATTTTTTTAAAAATATGCTCAAGAAAGAGGTGAGCAAAATAAAATACTGTTAACTGAAGATTATACAAGGGAACATTAAAAAAGATTTGAAAAAAATTCTGTAAACCAGGCACGGTGGCACATGCCTTTAGTAGTCCAAGCTACTGGGGAGGCTGAGACAGAAGGACTATAAATTTGAGGCCTGCTTGAGCAAAACCCTGTCTCAAAAAATAAAGAAGGCTGGAGTTGTAGCTCAGTGATGAAGTGCCCCTGGTTCAATCCCTATTACTACCAAAAAAAAGTTTCTTTAACCTCCACATCACCTTGCTCAGTGCCAAGCAAGCACATGATTGAAGCAGTTGAGGTTATTTTAATAATTCCTAGCTAAATGAAACCTTAACAGAATTATGAATTCACTTAAGGATTCTAAGACTTGCTGGTAGGTTGGGAAGTGGGAACAAGGTGTCAGCATTCTACCCACTCTTAGATGGGAGATCAACCCAACTCTGACACCAAAAGAACACAATCCATATTGAAAATCAACTCCTCTACTTTCCTAAATCTGATCCTCCTTGGGTTTTCAAAATTAGTGGTAACACTGTCCTAACAAGCCACCCAAACTTTGAATTGCTTTTGATACCTCCCTACCACAACCAGCTTTTTGTGTGTGTGTGGGGGGGGTGCCAGATAAGCCAAATCCCCACCCCTATTTTGTATTTAGAGACAGGGTCCCACTGAGTTGCTTAGTCCTTCACAGTTGCTGAGGCTAGCTTTGAACTCTCCTGCTGCTAGGATTATAGGCGTGTGCCACCATGCTGGGCTGCAGCCACCTATTGAGTCTAATTTCTGATCACTCTCATTCTTTCCACCAGTACCCTGGTCCAGACCTCATCACCTATAACCCAGAACAGAATTGCAATCCCTACCCATCTGATCTTCCCACTAAATCCTTCACCAGTTCTTTCTCTCCACAGGCAGCTAGTACAGTCTTCCAAATTAGAGCACAATTGATCATTGGATCTCTTATTTCCCTGACTGAAAAGATCTTATGTTCTCCATCCCCTGCAAATCTAATAGGCATCAGAGCATTAGAGGACCTCCAGTGATTTGAGCTCCACCTCCTTTCCACCCTCATGCCCAAGTCTACACTTTTAAGCACTCTGTCCAGAATCCATTATTTGCCTTTCCTTCCTTGTAATTGACCTCTGTGTTCCTTCTCCCTTATGTCATTCCTTATGCTGGAATATCAATTCAAACCTGTGTTTGAATCCTAGTTTTGTTACCCATTCACTTTGAAAAATTCGGCAATTCACTTAAAACTCCCTTGTGTCATAGATTTTGTGTTTATAAAATTGTCATAATAGTACCTATTTCATAGGATTGTTGTGAGAAACATTCTTTTCCTAATGAGACATACTTGTTATCCCTCTGCAGCAGTTATGTGTGTTCAATATCTTAACTCCCTCTAGATTAAATGTAGGATCTTGAAGGTTATCTTTATATACCTTATCAACTCAGAGCCTTGAACAGAATAAGTACATTTGAAAACTTGAATGAAATGTGAGTTAGTATTGGGCTACACAGAGTACACCAGTAATACAGTAACCACTCAGTTGAGGACAGTGGGAGGGTGGGGATAAATAAAACACTGGGTGAAGGGCTGGGGTTGTGGCTCAATGGTAGAGCGTTTGCCTAGCACGTGGGAGGCACTGAGTTCAAACCTGGCACTGGATTTAATCTTCAGCACTACCTGAAAATAAACAAGTAAAGGTATCGTGTTCATCTACAACTAAAAAAAAAGACTGGGTTAAGTATTCATTCTAACAAATTGCATGCCTTGTAATTTGACACTGGGAATTCAGCAATGAAGAAGGCCCTGACTAAAGTTCAAGGATCTTTTAGCCTAGTCAGGGACAGGATTTTTAGCTGTGTGCTGAGATGAAGTACAAGAGGAAGGGAGGAGCTGAAGGGACTACAGGGTGGCTGAGTTTGATCAGAAAATATAGATCAGGGGCTGGGGATGTGGCTCAAGTGGTAGCACGCTCGCCTGGCATGCGTGCGGCCCGGGTTCGATCCTCAGCACCACATACAGACAAAGATGCTGTGTCCGCCAAAAACTAAAAAATAAATAAAAAATTTAGGGCTGGGGATGTGGCTCAAGTGGTAGCACGCTCGCCTGGCATGCGTGCGGCCCGGGTTCGATCCTCAGCACCACATACAGACAAAGATGCTGTGTCCGCCAAATACTGAAAAATAAATGTTAAAGTTCTCTCTCTCTCTCTTTCCCTCTCTCTCACTCTTTCTTTAAAAAAAAAAAAAAGAAAAGAAAATATAGATCAAAAGAAGGATGTGGCTCAAGTGGTAGCGCACTCGCCTGGCATGCGTACGGCCTGGGTTCGATCCTCAGCACCACATACAAACAACGATGTTGTGTCCGCCGATAACTAAAAAATAAATATTAAAAAAAAAATTCTCTCTCTCTCCCCCTCTATCACTCTCTTTAAAAAAAAAAAAAGATGTTGTGTCTGCCGAAAACTAAAAAAATAAATATTAAAAAATTCTCTCTCTCAAATAAATAAATAAAATATTTTTTAAAAAAGATTACAGATCAGGGCTGAGAATATAGCTTAGTCAGTAGAGTGCTTGTTAAAAAAAAGGAGGATGTGGCTATGGATTTTCCTGTACTCCTAGCAGACCTCTCAAATTGCCTTCCTGAGAACCTGTCTTTTGGCAAGGCATGCAATGCCAGTAAGACTGGCACTCTTAATCTTCCCATCCTCTTCCATAAAAAATGACTGCCTTTCCGCTCAAAACTTTCCACTTGTCAACCTATGTTTTCATCTTCCGCCCTCAGTGCATGCTTCTGTTCAGTGTTACACCAAGATCTACTACATGATAGGCTCTTGGCTAGGCCCTGGAGCTACAGAAAGGAACCTGTGGGACTCATGTACACAATCCAGGGAACAAACCACGCCTAACCAGTGTGTCAGTGCTGTGCCCATGTGTGTTAGCCTAGGGTGCCAGCCTGAAGAGTCAGGGAGGCTTCCTCTAGGCAATGAACCCCAATAAGAATCAAGTCTTTTTTTTTTTTAATATTTATTTTTCAGTTTTCGGTGGACAAAACATCTTTATTTTTATGTGGTGCTGAGAATCGAACCCAGCGCCCTGCGCATGCCAGGCAAGCGCATTACCACTTGAGCCACATCCCCAGCCCAAGAATCAAGTCTTGATAGTAGGACAAAAGTTCTGTCATCCAAGGAGTGAAGGCCTGCTTCCAACTGAACAAGTGGTGCATAATCCCAAAGCCTGTGATCCATAATGCCCTGTACTGACTCCACCTTTTCTCCATCTCCTTGCCCCTTAAGCCAAGACCTTTCCCCAGCACTGGCTGCACTGCTATAGCTACACTATGACTTAGCTTAAGATGGAGAAGGAGCGAGGAAGCTGCTGCAGTAGAATCTCTCAATATGGCTGAATGAGGCTGCCCAAAGCCCTAGAAGGAGGAAGTGGATAAGTGCTTTATCCAAAAAGATGGCAGCCTCAGGTCTTATCAGAGGACAGCAGCTTCCTTACTCCCCCTACCTCTGGCTAAGTCACAAAATGCCACAGCAGAGTAACCAGATGGATGGGGGAGAAGGGGTAGCTGTAGAATTATGAGC